ATATATAAAGAAAATGTCTTAAGTGTATTTGTAATTAGCAGCAAAAGGGAATATACATTTTAAGAAACATATGTTTTTGATGCCCTGTAAATATGTACAAATGCTTTACTTTATTTACAAAAATATGATACAGTATATAACTGTATATAATTTACATTCATGTACAATAACACTGAAACAAATCTGTTTCCATCTGTAATCTTTTAAAGTTCTCTATGTCTATTAGGGATTCCATTCATGCAAGTAGAGGCGCATGATCGCGACGACCGTGATACAGCTCATGCTGAATTGCGGTTCAGCCTGATGGAACAAACACCCAGGATTCCCTCCAGTCAAATGTTCTGCATTGACTCCATTACTGGAGAGGTTTCCCTCACTGAAGAGGGTCAGTTTGTCTACACATGTAACACTTCATCACAATAATAATCACAATAATGAAACTTAATGATAATAACAACAATACTACTACCACTAATAATAATGATATCCCAAAAGTCAGAATTTGAGAAAAAAAAAATCTTTTTAAAAGAATATTATGATCAACTGTATCAAATGCAGCACTAAGATCTAACAGGACAAGTACAGATACAAGTCCATTATCTGAGGCCATGAGAATAGCATTAGTGACTTTCACCAGAGCTGTTTCAGTGCTAGGATGAGCTCTAAAGCCAGACTGATACTCTTCAAAAAGTTAATTACGGTGTAAGTGGTCACACACTTGTTTAGCAACTATTTTCTCAAGAATTTTAGATGAGACAGGAAGATTGGACCTTTAACAGAGAGAGATTAATCACATCTAAAATGGAGGTGAAAATAAGAAGGAATACCTCCTTAAATAACTTGGTTGGAAGTGATCTAACATACAAGTTAAAGGCTTAGAGGAAGATATTAATCCAGTTCAGAATCTGTAGTTACTTCAGATGCTTTTTCACCTTCCAGAAATAAACCTATAATATTTAGAGAAGGGGCAATGATCTTTTTTTTTTTTTTTTAGAATCAATGCTATTTGTAAATATTCCATAAAACCATTAAGATCAGGGGGAATTGACAGTTTTATCATTTGGATTTCTTTATATCAAACACTTGGATTTCTATTCTTCCAAATCTTAGCAGAACACACTCTGATATACACATTGTGAAATATACTTTAACAGTAATTTCAATGTATCTTGATATATTTACTGCTGCCAGTTTTCAGCTGTAAATTATTAATATTTTGTTATTTTATTTTGAAACAAGATTTCACCAAATAAAGTACATGAGCATTGTTTATTCAGCAATATTTAATTTTTTTTCCTTTGCCCCTATCTAATACAGCGTAATAATGGTTCTCTTTTTTATTATTTTTTTCACATTTGTTGAATCAATATTCCTTGAATTTTAAATAAAGTCAAAATGTGTACATCTACCTTCTTGCCATGAAGGAAAGAAAAAAATAAATAAACTCACCACAATAAAATAAATCTTTAAATAATAAGGTCCAATTGAATTACATATATTATGATGTGCTCTTTTTTGTTTCTGCTGCTCTGGCCTTTCTCCTTGTTAAGGTTTGACAGGAGCTGGTTAAGATTTTCACACGACAGTGCCTTTCAGCCCACACAGCTGCTGATTTACAGAGCGTACTAAAATTACCTCTTATTTTTCTACTTCATCTTCACACCAGATGAAAGTGGTTATGATTGCCTTGGAGTGATCCAGTTTCTTCAGCTATTTGCTTCCATTTACACATGTAACAAAAATGGCATCCAGATGCCTTTGATAAGCTTGGACAGGTGAAATGTATTACCTGTGTTAACCTGAAGGAGCCTGTGGTTTTTGAAGGGTTTAAATTAATTTCATATGATTGTATAGTAGTTTAAACATGTTAACTTTTGACTTGGATTCATTTTTTTTTTTTTTACAGTAGGGCTGGTTCATCTGCACTTGGTCACAATACTAGTGTTAAAAATTAGTTGTCTCTAAAATAACATATTTTCTTCCTCTTTCTTTTCTGTGACCCACGAAGGAGCCTCTACCCTGGACCCAGAAATGTGTGGCCGCTATAAACTTTCCGTAATGGTGAAAGACATGGCCGGGAGGACTAATGCTTTCTTCACCACTGGTATTGTTACTGTTGAGGTTACTGGAAACACTTGGGCATCGCCTGACCCTGTGCGACTTCAGGAGAATCTCCCAGGTCCTTACCCCATTCCCATATCACAGGTGAGACATCAAAAACCTGGTCAGCAGCAGAGGATAAACAACTGTTTATCAGTTTTCATAGCAGTTTTTAGTCATCAAAAGTGGTTTACAGGCACATAAAAATTTCCAAACAAAAATACAAGCATGATAGAGAAAAGGAAGCTTCAATCCAAAAGAAACAAACTGTAAAAATATAATTTAAAATAAGTAAAAAGCTAAGACATAATATAAAATGGAATAATATCTGACCTTTTCTTATACCTCATCTGCTCATTCGTATAAAATACACTCTAACTGAGTGACTTTAACAGACTAGGGTCACTAGTGACAAAAGCATAAAGCTGTGTCTTTAGTATAAATATGGAATGAATATTATGCTCCATGAGATAACTTAGGGAGGGATATAAGTGGTCTGAGATCAGAGTCTTGAGGATACCTGTTAGGATTAGCTCAAATTTATTATACAGCACTGAGAATCCTGCTAAAAAACACAACAGAATTTTGATGCACCACAGCTTAAATGCATTTGAAAGTTTTAGCAGAACCGTTTCAGTGATGGCCCAATTCAGAAACAAAACGAAGATGGATAAAAAGTTTTATTCTCCAACTAACTCTTGAAAGCATGCTATCTATTGCAGGGTTGTGTTATAATCAAAGAAAGATGATCGATAGTCGCAATGGAGTGAAAGGGTATCCCTTCCCTGAGATCTATTTTTAGTATCTCTCAAAACCTGCTAAGTGATCAAATGCTAAATTATTCATGCTGTGTAAATGCAATAAATCCTCTCTGACCACCTCCTGGCTGAAACACTTTAACTTCTATAATCCATCACATACTTGCTTGTTAACACAAGGAGTGTTATTTTAATCCTACCATACAACAGACTCTAAATACTTAAATATTTAACATGTTTTAGGAAACAAAAGCACTTTGGTCTGAATCATGTACTCAATTTATGATTTATGTTTTTCACTTAAGGTCTCAGTAGTTATTATTGCTTCATATGTGGCATGAGCTATTGCATTAAAGGGGATAATTAACCTCAAACTATCTTTTATACTACTTTTTTTTCCTAAAGGCATGTTTTTTCAAATTAACGAAAGAGAATAAATGCTTATATCATCATAAATAGATAAAATTATTTTGATTGAACAATGGTGATAACATTTTTTAAAACATAGGGAGATTCTTAGATTCTTATTTAGAAATGTGGTTTTTAGATGAAACAATCACAATTTAATTCCTCCCTTTATATGTCTGGTTTACCAGTAGGTAGATCCTTGATAATTCAGTGAATAGAAAAAGCCTTTTCAAGACAATAAAACTAGTCTAAAATTAGAAAATAGATTCTGTGTGGTGGTCTCTGGTGGGTTCAGCTTTACTAAGTATGAGTCTGATCCTGGTACGATTTTTTTCCCTCTTTTTCCAGAGTTACTCATATTACATCTACTGTATACCTATAAATAACACCCACCCTCAGAGGTTTTAAAAGACATGGAATAATTGTTTTCGTAGTGATAGATTATTTTTTCATTCCGTATTTAGAAAATGAAAATAAAAAGAGAAGTAAAGAGCAGATTTAAACTCTGCAATAATGTACTGTGTCATTTCTGCACAGTCTCTTTGACCAAAAGGTACATGACAAACCTCCCCCTCCTTTTGTGTATCTTCCACCTCCCCCACACTCACCCTCAGCTTCTCTTTCTCTCCTACTCTAACATCCCCCTCCACCCACAGAAAATGTGTGATTTTTCAAGTGGAGGCAGATTCAATCATTTTCTGTAGCATTTTCAAATGTTAATTCAAATTTACAGTAATGAATTACATCTATTGATTATTTTTTTGTGTGATTTTTATATGTGGATTCAATCCGATAAATATTCTTCCTTTTTAATATATATTTTTTTTTGTATTGTGAAATGTCCTTAATGCCTATTGTTGTTGGAGTAAAAAAAAAAATTATATTCCCTTTACCCTTTTATTTAAAGTAGTAAGTTTATTATATTTATTTAAGTCAATAGCCGATCCATTAAAAAAAAATTTGATTTCGGATTCCTTTATCCTGAATATAAATCAGAGAAAAGGAGGTTTGGCTGATATGGCGCTTACTCCGGGAAAGCCTCATTTCGCCTACATAGTGTGATCGTTCAGTCAGTGGGTGTTGGGACTAACTGCTGTTATGACACATACAGAGATAGTCCTGTATAAGGGAACACACTATGAATCCCCACCTCCCTCACTTTTTTTGCTTAGACTGAGCCGCTATGTCCACACATCCACACAGCTGTGAAAAATGTCTATTTATGCAGACAGATATCATCCATAGTGTGCTCTATTAAATGTGCTTCCTTTTGGTCCTCCTACTCTCTCTTTACAAGTTAGTTATTAGAAAAACTGTTGTAATGTTCCTAAAATGATTATGTAAGATCAAATTGTCCTTGAATTTCAGTATAAATATCAAAATCTGACATTTATTACAAGTTTTTTCTCTTGAATGACTGCAATGAGATTATTTTCACTCTCTATCTCTGGCATACGAGTATTTCTATACATCTTTATTTCATACTTTATACTTAAAACTTAGAAGGGACTTCTGTACATCAATTTCAAGCCCAGTACTAAAATAGTCTCCAACTAGAACTGATCTTGAGAAAATTCCCCAAGAAATCTCTTTTTCCAGCAGTCTTGATCCTTTATCCTCAATGTGCTTTAAGAAAAACACTGTGTATCATAAAATATCATCTAACTCAAGTAATACACAAGTCCATTCTGTCAGGTGTTTTCCACAGGCCCTAAAACAATGACCAGCAGACCGTGGAAGAACCGCAGTGCTGGCTGGACTTTAGTGCAGTCTTCAACTCTGGTGATCACTCCATTTTAGGAGAGCTCCTGGAACATTGGGTCGACCTTTCTGGTACAAAACTTGACTTGTTCATATCCTCCATGAATGTTAGGGCCTTTTTACTCTCCATAAAAAACTTTACATCAGAGACACAAAAAACTTGTGACCTTCCCTAAGGGACCATCTGAGGGCTCCTCCCATTGAGTATCTGCTCCTTTATGGTAAATGAATAGAGGAAATAAAATGATTGATGTGCAAAGCTCAATCGAAACAAAACTGAAGTGATAAGGTTCAAAATTGAGGTGCAGTAATGGACTCGGACCTGAACATTCAAAGGATCATAAAGTATACAGTTGTCCCTCTATCACCTAAAGAACTTCTCCAGGATTAAAGGACTAACGTCTCACATGACCTTAAAAAATAATTCCGTAAAAATTCAAAAAAATATCCACTGGACTTAGTTTTCAAGGTTTGAAGACGTTTCGCCACCTCTCCAGGAAGCTTTCTCAATTCAGATGTCTGGATCCGCAGTGAGTTTGAGTCTTATATAGACAACGCCTTGTATCGCTTGGAAACATGCAATGGTAACCGCTGAATGGGTCGTTAGTTCATCGGTTACCATTGCATGTTTCCAAGCAATACAAGGCGTTGTCTATATAAGACTCAAACTCACTGCGGATCCAGACATCTGAATTGAGAAAGCTTCCTGGAGAGGTGGCGAAACGTCTTCAAACCTTGAAAACCAAGTCCAGTGGATATTTTTTTGAATTTTTACAGAATGACTATGACCTGGATGACTGAGAACCTTCATCAGCTTAAAAAATAATTAATGTGTTCATCTTTAGTAGATTTCATTACTGCAATGCTGTCCTCATAGCTCTGCCTAAAAAGTTGATCAGATAGCTGTAGTTGGTCCAGAATGCTACTGCCTGCATTCTCACCAAAACTAACAAAGTGGAGCACATATCCCCAGTTCTAAAATATGTACACTGGCTCCTCTAATCTCAGAGAATATACTTGAAATTGGTTCTTTTTGGCTGTGTCTGAAGGTGCGCCCTACCACCTATATACAATAGAGCACTATATAGGGGCTACACCATTTTTTATGAGTGTCCAAGTGTGTGGTCGTTTCTCAATATGTGTACTTGTGTGTTCTCATGTGTTCGTGTACTCTTGAAACATCATCAGCCTCAGCCCTAGTACTGTTCCTATTCAAAATAACACAACACCAAGAACAGACAAAGTCCCCTGATGTTGTTCTTGCCCCCCCCCTTTACCCAGCATGCATCAGAGCAGACTTGTCCGTTCTTGAGATTGACAGCTGTCCCAGCATGCACCGTGGCAGCAGCAGCTTCCAGTGGAGCGCTCATAGAGCTCAGAGTATTAAGTTAAAAGTTTTCTTTTCTGCTGCTGTTGTTTTATAAAAGTATGTTTTAAGATAACTTGAGGCGAGAACATTATACTTTTAGGCAACACTATACGTCCCCTTTAATAATTTAGTGCGTAATTTAAAAAAAGTACCGATGTTGAAAGGACCATGCCAATCAGCGAACCTCTGAGGCTAACTGCAGCCAGAGCAAACCTTACTCTGCAGCATAGCCATGTGTGAAGTACCGCTGATATCTGATGCCGATTTTTTTTGTTTTATTTTGCATAGTGTTCATTTGATTTGTCTTTATCTGAGTGTGATAACTATTATTCCCCACTAAATTAAAAAAAGTAAGAATTTAGAGACTATTAATATCAGGAGGTGAAATGCAGCTCTAGACGAGCCGAGTGTGTGGTGATGTCACGAGTACGCATCTGTTCCAACTGACCCTTATCTATGCTGCGTGCTCCCATTTTCCCAGAGTCCATACTTTCCTGTGTTCTTTTTAGGAAAATACTTGGGAGAACACAAGTCTGTACTCGCATTCTTGTGAATTGAGAAACAGCTGGAAGTAGTTGTAGTATGATCATAATCCTGATGAACTGACTGGACAGATTATGTTTTGAGGCCCAGATCGTGTTTGGTGTTTCCACGTAACATGATGTACAGAAATGGCAGCATCATATTGTATCAAGGTTTTGCACAGGGGAGACTGGGCACTTCATAATTTAAATGGTAGTTTAAGAAACAGAAATTATAATGAAATATCACAGTATATAATAAATGTGTTGCATAAACAGCTCTAGAAATCCTAAGTGACCTAAAACAGGACAGGTTCTATTTGATTTGAGGCTTATGTATTTAAAAAGGCACACAAAATGCCAGCTGTACACCCTAAAAACCGATTTTTCAATACAAACCAAAAAAAAAATGGCTGATATTCTGACTATTCTGGTTGGTAGTTTTGTGTCCATCCAATCTTTTGGTTAAAACAATCTAATTTGGTAGTGTTTTTAATCAGTCTGTATTCGTAGAGGGGCAAACCATAACGAATTGGTCCCTTTGATCAGATTATTGATTAATCAGTGAAAACCAAAGCTTGAATCACCAATCCTATGGTTGAAAGGCAAACACCCGCATCAAATACCACAGTCCTCTTAAACAGTTGGTGGAATTTAATGCTAATGTTAAGACTATAGTTAAAGCCAAGATGTGCATGCTGTATATGTACACATCATTGTAATTGTTCTCAAGGTCTGTAACTATTACACATGACTATTGACTATGTCCAAACAGTCAGATTAGTAAACCATCAGTCTACAAGTTTCTGCAGTTTAACTTTTCTATGGGTTTTTTGGTTAACCTATTCAATTGGTTGTTCCAAAATCAATGTATTGGTCATTTTCTGACCAATATATTGGTTAATTTAACCAACTTTGGTTGAATCAACTAGATTGGTTGTTTTTCCAACAGGTCTTTTCTTGAACAAAATCCACTGTCAGGTTTTTAGATTGTGAAAATTACGTTTTATGTCAAATACTAGTTCGATTGGGATTTTTTTCTAGTTTTTATATCTGCCTGGCCTAAGTATAATGAAGCAAAAACAATAAATATTCACACTGGCAATAAAATACCATCAGGACATTTTTCTTTAGAAAATGGGCTGAAATCCTACCTAAATTCCCAAAAAGTAAAAGAGCAAAGGGATTGGGTACTGAAATGTCTGCATTTCTATTTTGTGACAAACAAGCTCTATCTTTCTAAACCCTCCTGGCAGCATTTCCTGCATTTTCTTCAAACATTTGGCAGAACTCCATGACAAAATATTTCCATTAAAGCAGAGCCATGACATAAGTAAATGTTTCTGCTTTATATCTGCTTTTTATATAAACACACACTGTGATTGTTTTTTATTAGTTTAGTTAAAAACAGCAACAGTCTGACATAGAAGGGCCTTTTTATGTCCCCCTAAAAACAGTAATTTCCATAGGATTGATTGTAAAAATACTTAGGCTATATCAAATCTTCTCTATGTTTTTATGATTCCTAATGCTGTTTTTCACTCACTGCTTTATCACTGCAGCATTTCCATTAGTATTTCAAGAGATCTGTGTCTTTTATTTTTTTCTCTTTAATCTCTACATAAATATTTTTTTACAGGACCATAAAGGGTCATTCTTTATGTCAGACTATCCTTTCCCCATTAATCAAGTGATTAGCATCTGAACAGTTTTTGTATTATGAAGCTTTAGGCAAAGCCATGTCCTCTTTTCCGAAAGCCAGTGACCAAGTCCTTGTCTCAGTGTATGTAATATGCTTCTACACAAAAGTACAGGCTGAACCTAAAAAATAAGACTGAATGTGCTCTGCAAACTCAAATACAGACAAAGGCAAAATATATGACCTCATCCATGTTTTTGTATGTGGCTTAAAATAGAGCAGTCAGTCAGGAGTAATCTAATTTCTGTAAAGTTCAGAGGTCTGGAAGCACACCATGACACAGCCAGATGTGTGGACTGGATATGTGTATATAAAGCTCTGAAGTTAGGTGGCTTTTTCCATAACACAGGGAGGGGGTGGGGGCTGACAGTGAGCTGAGAAGATGCATATGCTCTGGGTGTGCATCAGCTGGGATCTTCTCCTTGTTGGGTGCTATTTTAATGGCAGTCATGTAACAGCGGTTACAATGCAGGAAATTCCCCCTTTAGTCTGCTTCGTTAGTTTTATCCATACTCTCTGTTCCCTTTTATTTCTGATCTAGTTGGTCAGTCTTATGTCATGTAAACAAATGGAAAGCTTAGTACATTATTACAGCAAAAGCTCTGCTGCTACATTCCCCTGCACCCAGGCAACAACCATTACAATAAGGTTTATTGTTTTCATTTGTTATTTTATAACAGGCACCATTAAGGCAGCTTTGCTCATTGAAATTATATGTTTGTGTTTGTGTTTGCTGAGACAGGTCAAATGGAGTGGAAGCCAGGCAGAGTACAGTTTGGATGGGGAGTTTCCAGAGATGCTCTTCACCATCAGTAGAGATGGTGTCATCTATCTTAATGCGCCTTTGGACAGAGAGACACAAGACCAGGTGTGAAGTATTGCCACTAACAAAACATTCCCACTGCTGCTGAAAGTCTTTTTAATCCTTCCATGAAAGCATTGAAGGATTAATAATTTGGATCTTTTAAAATAACAAAAACTCTATCATTGACAACAACACATATATTCAACGAAAGGTTTTGGATTTAAAAGCATATAAACTTTTTCTCCCTTTATTTGGACGCATCCTAACAGAGTAGAACAGTCCTAATGGATGGAAACTTGCAAAACAGACCACTGTGCATGTTTCTTCCTACAATATATTTTAGTGGAGGGAACAATCCACCAGCTGAAGATCACAGCAGAGGATCCCCTCTGGCACGAAAAGATTGCATTACAGCAACGACTTCACGGGAAAACAGAGGATTTTAAATTGTGTTCAGTTGATGAATGATCTTCATGTAAGCTATAGTTATAAGTAAAAACTTTCTGTTCACTTTTCACTTTTGCATTTAAATGAAGCTCCTCTGAGCTTTGAATGGCTCACTGAGCAGCATATTCTGATGCCCATGTGATCGAAGTACAGCACATATAAGTGAATGGGAGCAGAGTGAAGATATATGATATTTGTTTCCTTCTGCAGATACTCTTCACTGTTTTCTCCTGTCTGTTTTTTCTCCTTACATTAAAAAGAAGAAAAACATAAAATGACTTCTCCTCCTGCTTTGCAATCAAACAATCTAATGAGCTAGCTAGAAAATGAGTTGGTCAGAGAAAAACATAATTTTGCTACTTATTGCAACTACAAACCTATAACACCCCCATTAAAAAAAGAATTGCAGTACCATATTTTAGTGGTAGAAGATATGGTGTGATCTTTCTTATACAAACTGTGACTGTGTTGGAAACTATCCCCTCACATTGTTATGTAAACTTAAACTAGACAGGTTATACTTCTAACCTTTTTAAGCAGCAAAGTTGATCTTTTACTAATTCCAATAAAAATCATCGGTCGTAACTGAGTGAGTGTGGGTGCAAATTGAATTTCCAAGCTCTTTACACTAAATAGAAGCCTGTGTGATTAAACAATATGTTTTTGTTCTCTCCTCCAGTTTCTCATAAGTATTGTGGTTGAGCGTCCGGATGGCAGACAAATCGCAAAGCCTGTGGAGCTGAGAGTGATGGTGGGCGACGCCAATGATAACAGACCCACATTTCCTCAGGCCCAGTACCATACCGTGGTCAAGGAACTGGCTGCTAGGGGTAACGAACGGCTTTTAGATGTCTTTGAAGTGGATATCAACTTAAAACATGAATCAGAGTTGGATCAGCTGATATGTGTTATAAGTTAAAAACTTATGTAAAA